GAATTTTTTGTAGAATTGCTCATCACCTTCAGTAGGATTTTTCGCGCCAAGTATGTCTGATTGTGGTTTTGTCGTTACTTTTTCATACTTAACTATCGGCTTCGCTAACACTTTTCGGCTTGAATTTGAAATTACAGCGAATCCGTTGAAAAAGATATTGATACCATTCCCAGTCTTTTCCGACGTGTTCAACAAATTCCATGAAGGTAAATATCAGAGGGGACTTTTTGAGCGCCCTTTTCATGTTTTCTGTTCGTTGCTAATTAATCTCACTTTTATCTTGTTTCCACACCCGCACACGGGCGCTTCGAATAATCAAGAACAAGAACAAGAATTTAAAACTGTTGTTCAATATGAACGTAATCTTGCAGTCAAAAAAGAAGAAATGGCAGAGCATAGCGATAACCTGAGACGTCTGGTGGATAAGAAACGTAGCGAGATGAGAGAAATTCAAGAAGATATCAGTCATATGAGGGCAAAGCTGGAGTCGTTGCATGAGAAGATGGTCCCGGTGTTCAACACGTTACTGGCGGATGATAACCAGCTGAATGAATATAATGTCAGTTCGTTTGCCATAGCTTTTGCCAAAAAACTGAACAAAGATAGTGGTTAGAATGTTGACTGTATAGATTATTATTGTTGGGTGGAAGTGGTTTGACGGACGTTTTGTTGTTTCGTAGTACAGTGAATTGCAGTAAGGTTTGTTAGTGGAGAATTGTTATGACAGATAAATAGAAGTAATACCAGTTTATAATAGAAGGTATTCAGTTTCATGATTGTATATTATAAACATGCTTTTTCAAATTTTTTTTGCTCTTGATACCAAAGATGCTAGGGTGGGGGGTTTTATGGACATATCTTTGGTTTGAGACAATTGATAATAGAGTCCCAGAGGCAAGTTTTAATTTTCAGTTGTAAATACTCACACATTCATTATTTTATGATATAGACATTTAATATTAAGCCAACATTTTTGAGATTTTTTGATGTTGATTTGTTAATAAATAATCCGTAAACTGTATAAAATGGTGACGTTTTGCAAATGTCCGGAGAATATAAACGTTATATTTAACTGGAATCGAGAATGCAATATTTAAAATAAAATGCAAAAAGATTGGTATGTATGTAGTTTTAGATACTCGTCTTGTTTCATTACGCGTTCCGTTGAAATCGAAACCACATGATAAATTTACCTTCTTATTTTAGCGCAAATGCTCCTCTGTCCATTCTACCCGTTTTGCAATATGACTATTCGTAAGCATGGGCGCGGCATGAGGTACAGGAACTTTCATACATTATTTTTTTCTACATGCCGCCAAACCGCCATATGTGAAATTGAAGTATCTTGGGTTTCTTCTACGGCTACAGCGCACAAGCTGTCCGATATGGTTTATGTAACCTTAGTCGTGCGTCTCAAACGAGGATGGAAGCGTGCCTTTTCACTCTTCATTTAAATGTGCTATTAGATGTTGCAACACCAATAATGTTGTAAATAATAACGTGAAACCGTAAGGCTATGCATAAGATCCAACGATATAAAAAACCATGAAACCATAAAATTTATTATGAATGCAGTACACGACAAGAAAGATTAGCTATATATTTTTTTTTCTCCTATTCTTTATGTATTTATCCCTTAGTCTGTAGGCCAATGAGCAAATTTAGCCCTTTAACCTTTGGGGCGTTTTTAAAAAATTATTGTTATGTTACCTGGCCTTTAGCCATGAATAAAAAACATTTATCATGTTTTGAAAATTTTAACAAGTTAATAAAATTTTTTTGTATATTAAGACTATGCCACGGCAGGGTCCCTATTACGAGACACTTTTTTTTTTCAAGCTTAATCAAAAAATTTTAATTGCAGACGGGTTGTTCAAGAGAATGAAATTTTCAAAATAAGCACTCAAATCTCTTAAACTTCATTGCCGAAAAGGGACTGAAAATTTTTTCAGTACCTTTTCGGCAATGGGCCTTTTAGGCTATTACCACACTTTATCTTCATTATGTTACCATCAATTTGACCATTAAAATAAACGTTTTGCCTAGCATGTCTTTGTGACGAGTGATTGAACTAAATTGTTACACAGTAAACGTTGAAATAATCACTCGTCTCTGTCTTTGATTTATTTAGAAAATTCTACGTATTAATAAATTATTAACTATCTTGATTTTAATTTTATTAATTAAAACTAGCACAGATTTTTGCAAAAATAAAAATTATAACAAGTTTAATATCAAAAAAATAAATAAATAAACCCGATGATATTAAATCTACCATGAAACCCATTATTATCAGAAGCATAAAAAAAACAAGGAAAATATTGTATCTCATGTTCTAAAAATAAATGATACTCAAACACTCCGGAATTTGTATAAAAAAATCGCATATCAATATTAGTCATTGGCATTGGAATTGACTTACCTGTACAGTGTACCCCAGGTACAAATGTGACAAAAACTGCGAACCTGAGCAGTAGAGTAGTAGAGTAGTAGAGCAGTAGAGCAGTAGTAATTTTTAGCTCAAAATGTTCACTTTGTCTGGTTTGTTGCAGTCTGTCCCATATTATCAGTATTGATTTATTTATTATTATTGCCAAAATTTATGCTGCAAAGAGTGTGAAAGCACATAGATAAAAAGGTACTAGACAGTGAATCAATAATGAAGATTATTATTGTATCATTCATTTTCCTCTAACTTATTCAACCAATATAAATCATGTGCTTTGTCCATTATGGCATTTCCTTCAACTCCTGTTGGCCACCTTATGTCTGGATTCGTCTTAGATGTATAGCAATCCTTTCCATGTTCTCCAGCCCATAGTAATAGCCCAATCAAAATTTATTAGCATCCCATAGCAATCTTTATCACTATTCATTACCATTATATTTGATTTGTAAAGGTCTCCAAACACAATATTAATATCCTTACAATGCAGAATATGAATAGCCTTGCTAACACACTTCAAGACATTTTCATATTCTGTTTTATCAATCTGTAGAGTATTAAGTGTCTCACCTTCCACATATTAATATTCCATTATTATCATATACCATCCCCCAAACTTTTCTTTGCTAACATAAAAAAGCCTTGGGGCAAGTCCTTCCTGAACACAAAGATTATGTGCATAAGCATTGTATCTCTGACTGAACTTGATAACAATGGGGTAACCATCAGTAGTTTCCCCTTAAATATGTTTTTTTAGAGTCTTCTGTTAAATAGTCTTCATATTAATATGTAAAGTGTATCACAGTATTATTTTCTGTAACATATTGATGTGGATATGGATACAGTGGCTGAGTAGTATTGTTGTAGACAATACTTAGTGTTCTGTAATAATTATCTAAGTATTGGGCTGCAAGACATATAGCTTCAAAAAGTCATGCAATGCAGTGCACATGTCTTTCATCATGAATAGGTTCAATTATCAATGGAATGAAATCTGTAATTGGACTGATCACAGGTTTAATTATAATGTTATAAACCCCCCCCCAGAACACAGACCCATGGTCCAGCAATAGCGAGAAGCAAAGATGGACAACAACATGATGCCTGAACATGTTTACGCTATGTTAAGACACAACCATTAATATATAATTTACAAATTAAAGACCTCATATATTCAATTACAAAAATACCTGTGGTTGTGCCCAGTATTTTGCATATGATAAAGCTGCCTGGATTGTTGGGTCACTTCTTCCTCTACCTATTTCATTTTTCATTTAAAGAATGACCCGAAATCCAATCTGACCAGATGTGGTAATTGTTTGTAAAATTCCATCACTCTTTGAGTTATCCTCATTCTCAACTACAGAGAACTGACCAGTAAGTGGTGTCATATGATCACGAAATGCTTGCAAATGTAAAATTTCCACGTCATAGACTTTTGCCATGATTTCAATAAGTTCAATGGTCCATGCACAATGACCAGTCTGTAATTCAAGCTCTTCGTTGGTATAGTCGTCTAGGAATTTTGAAAAAATTTCGTGATATAAGAAAATCGGGGGACCAACACAGTGGGGGGGTCGATGATTCAAAATAACGGTGTTCTGTTGTATTTTCAGAAATTCACGATGCTCGGCAACTGATGATGGACTGTCTAGTTTAAGGACTTTCGTTACATTCTCGTGTTCTATAAGAAATGGATTTGTTAGATCAGATTAGTAACATTCCAGCGATAATAAAGCAAATTTTTTGAAAGTCTTGTTCAGATTAAATTAAATACAAGAATTTATTGGCAAAAAAAAATTATACATATGTTCTTCTAATGGTCTTTTCGCTTTATTAACAAGCCGGTACGTCTCTACTTTTCTCTTAAGTTCCGTCTGGCATTATGCTTCACTGATACTCGTCCAAGAACTACCAATGTTCGACTTCCAGTATTCATCAAAGTTTTGTGTATCTGTAAAGAGTCACCACCTCGTCTGCGCTTTTTCCGAGGATTAGCGTCCGTCACTATCATTAGGATCACTGTGATTGCTAGATGAGTTGTCTGGTTGTGGTGAAGACGGTGCAGAGGATCACTGCGGGCAAGATCCATGATACATGCATAACAATTGAATAATGTTGGTAATCTGGCTTGTATGGTGCTAGGCTAATGTACACAGCATTAATTGTGTGTGAGGTAATGTTCTTGTAGCCGTATGCCGAGTGTGGTCTTTCCCGAATACCATCAGGCTGTCACGGCCATCCTCGGCTCCTTCAGGGTACGGAAGAACGCCTTCCAGCTATTACTATAGGGTTAACAAAGATTTGTTACGTTATACGTGTACTTTACCCCAACTAATAACGCCTCTCTCTCTTGCAATATAACACAAAACCAGTAACGGTATTCAATCTCTTCTCCCCATTGCATTGCTCCTTTATCCTCCCAATAAATTATGTTGCTTTGACATGAGGTATTCCCCATAACCATCTGTGGCTGCACCAGGGTTGTCTCGATAGTATGTAGCGCAGAATTCTTTGTATTCATTATTGCAGCATCACATTGTTCCGGGGTCGCGCTGGGACATTCTCTACACCATATTTCAAAAAGAATACGCGGTGAGTAAAAGAAAAGAGTCGCGATCCGTTTTTACTTACACAAACATGTGATACTTCTCCAAATCCGTTGGATCGGAACCTCCCGTGTTTTTATCAAAAATAAAAAACAATGGGAAAACTCTTCCAATTTGTACAATACGTATAATCGTGTCACGCATTCGAATTAGCGTAGAAAGTACGTGCTTACAATACCGCAATAAAAATGTCAATTTTGCTGACATGTAATTATTTGTATATTTTTCCTAACGTGAGACGCTATTTGTTAACTTACGAAACAGAAATACAAAATAGCCCTCTGCGGCGATGAATTATAATTCTATTAACTGCCTATGCTTTTAGGCACCTATTGAGAGGTTGCATGGGAGAGAATAGTCGGATCCAAGGCCTGCCTCAAAAGGCTATGACTATTCCCTATTCTTTGGCCTCATGTACATAAGCTATCCAACATTATACTCGTTTATTTCTTTGTTCCTCAATTCCATCCAACGTCTTTTATTTCTCCATTATAGAAACTTTCTATCGCTTTGGCTCCGATACTTGCATTCCTTTTTCCTTATTGACATTATCTGCAATCGTCTTAAACAGATCAATATAATACGCGTTCGTACCATATATTCTTCAAACACTCTCTTGGAATCCCATAGCAGGAATTGAGAGACTGAGTTCGAAAACGATCTATGCGACGATGCTGTATATTATAAATATCATTTAGTGATGCCGTACGTAAATGGTATGTGGCTTTGACGATTGAAATAATCTGTCACCTTCACGAATTGTTTGAACTTTATTATGAATCAAGTTCATTGAGTTCATTAACTTTTTTTAGCAAAATCTTCGGATCGCATTATTATTCGTACGAGTCCAAAAAATAAACTTCGAGATTAAATTTTTCGCTTTTTCTTCTCCTCGACTTCTTCATCCGTTGAGACGGAATTTTTCCATATTTTCCAATTTCAAACATCTCAGCTGCCTTTTCCCAATAGTAATTGAAATCACATAGTCATCACACAACTTAGTCTTCACCAATGTTTTTAACACTCTTTCCATCTGAACTCAGGTTTCAAAATCGATAGTATCTATCTCTTTTGGTAACCGATTTTTTATTTCAATATCTGTATAACCTTTTGCTATATCTCCACAAAGTCCAGCAAAACTTTGTTGGTTTCAATATAATCCTTTTGAATTAACCCCCAAAACTTCAACTTACCCGTTAGTATACAGTATATTACGGTATCGCGCGCAGCACATCTTCTCCCTCTAAAAAAAA